AATTCGACGAGAAACACGCCTAATTGTACGGCCTATGTAACCGGCCCTACAGGAGCAGTTAAATTGGTATATACACATGGAAGAGGCGAAATTAGGCAGTTTGTCTTTTATTCCCGAATAAATAAATAGTGTACTATTTTATCTCATCTAATGGGTGGTGAACACCACCTCAAAATAAATGAGTCATTTACGGTTGCGTATCAAGTACCAAATAGTCAGCCTAAAGGAACATAATTACATCTCCTAGCCAAAGTGGAAGCTTTATGGATTAATGGAGAAGATTTTTAACTCAGGTGGATGATTTTGATGTAGCCGTGTTCACTAAGCTGATTGATTTACGGATTATTAAGAAGAAAAGAAAAGACTATCAGCGAAGAGTTTACTTTTTTCACAGCTATATCATTCTCAAACTGTACAATCGCATAATTTATGTAGTCAAGTGTTGATTTGGAAGGATTTCATTGGTCACAGGATGATTGATCACGAGTTGACATTAGTTAGAGAACCGTTGGGAAATCACCAGAGAGAGACAGAAAGAGAGTGCTGGATAGATGTTTCTACTGTCCTAGTCTGGGACTCTTCATCAGTACGCACTCACCACCAGGGCTCGAACCTAGGACCTTCCGATTAAAAAGGCAAGCTCATAGACCATTCAGCCACTGGGACCTGATCCAACGGCCCATGAATTACAACTTCTTCAAATTCGTGACATATGATTTAGCGCGATTGCCTCCAGCCAATATCACGAGCGAGCAACTGTCCTTTTGCCCAGCTTAGTAGACCCTGGTGGTTGCGATTGCTCGGGAGAACCCCAGGTAACTTCCTGTGTGGTGAGAGATGGCTGCTAGCCAAATTGGTAGACAGTAATTGACGTCAGTGTTTATGTCTCAAATATTAGTCATGTGAAAACAAGGTCAAAGATGGACAGCAGACTTTGCGTAGGCGGATACAGTTAGCATATGGATAATCTGACACAGCCACAAAGAGATGCAAGGTTAACTTTCTGTGAGAAACAACCAATCAACAGACTGTATTTTCTACTAACAATAATCTACAATAATGTACATTAAAATCTACAAATATGTGTTGATTTTCCTTAATAAACGATCTGTTGCCTGACTCTTGCCTTCTGTCGTTACACCTGGAACTAGCGACTGACCGTATACAAAAGGAATGCTTCCAAAGATGTGTCACTAGAATTGTGAGTTTTAAATAACAATCACAATGTAGAGAAATGCAATAATCAGATAGAAAATAAAATTAAAAGATTAAATTGCGTGACCTTATATAATTGACAGGAGAGAGTAGAATTCAACTAAAACTGAACAAGAGTCAAGTTAACAAGCGTGTGATAATAAGGGGTGGATATTTGATACTGGGTGACGGAAGAGAATAATACAATTAAGGAATAAAAAGCACAAAAATTACATATCTGATGTTGAGACAGATCAGGTCCGTTGCAAATTTCCTGACTGTAGAAACTTCTTCAGTATGAAGAATTCGGGATTTTAACATTGCCACTGCTTCTGTGTTTTAAAGAAATTTGATTCGTCGTACTCTTTTAGCAAGTTTCCCGCGTATTGCGTAGACGATTCAGGAGTTAGTTTGTCAGTTGGCTTGGTATCCAGATTCGATTAGGTGTCCCAGGATAGAGATTCCAGAGGGGAAGGTGGGAGGGATCTTTTGTTCCCCTTTATACAAACTTGATGGTGGTTACTTCTGTAAACGTCAAAAGAATCCCGAACTCCGCATACAAAAGAAGTGTGTTCAGTCACTGAACCTGATCTGTCTTAACACTGGATACGTAATTTTTGTTTTCTACTTCATAATTGTACTGTCTTCTTCCCTCACCCCTTCCGATTAAATTCCTACCAATTATTACCACTGTTGTTAACTTTGACTGTCGTTCAGTTCTAGTTGAATCCTGCTCAATCCACTCAATTATATTGCGTCATTCAATTTATTTCTTTTATTTTAGTTTCTACCCGATTAATACTCCTTATATCACATAATTTTTTATCTAGAAGAAATAAGGATTCTAATGACGTATCTTTGGAAATATTCCTATATATATATATATATATATATATATATATATATATATATATATATATAGTTGTACAACTTGAGAATGATATCGCTGGAAACAGTAACTCTTCGCTGGAAGATGTCAAAGCCAGAATTGGAAAGGCGATACAGACCTTCATCAACCTGAAACCAGTTTAGAAATCTTCTGCACTCAACCTGTATAAACAACAAGATTCAGATTTTCAACATAAATGTGAAGCCAGTCAGTTAGTTCTTCTATACGGGTCAGAAACTTGCACTGCGTGCACGGCACGAAAACGATTTCAAACAAGTTATTGCAGACTTTTATCAACAGCTGCCGACTCCGCTGGCTGGCTCCATGCTGAAGATCAAATGGCCGTCTGGCCGGACAGAAAGAATTAGCAAAAATACAACCAAGAGCCGATTGCCCAATAAAAATGCAGAAGAAAATGGAGATGGATAGGGCATACGTTAATAAGGCCATCGAATGACTTCACGTGCCAGGCACAGCCTTGACAGTGGGTCCTGATGGGAAGCGAAGATTGGGCGGTCGGTACGAGGGTGACATAAAGGAGATGGTGTGGAGAGGAGATGAGAGATTACAGGTAATAGTGGACCCAGCTGAAGAGGACAGCAGTGATGAATAGAACAAAGTGGAGATGTGTTCCTGAAGCTCTGTGTTCCACTCGGAACCCGAGGAAGTAATATACATTCGCTGGAAGTCTCTTCTTTTATTTGACTCAAAGGGGATTTTTAAGTTACTTAATTTCACTTGTTGAACTTTTTCACAAGCGATTGCAATTAACCCCAAAATCCTATAAAATGAATATCAATTATCAGCTCAGCAATGACTACTAAACGGATTTCTCGAAGCTGCATTGGGAATTCGTGACCAGTGAGTTCCAACATGTGTTAGGGTGAAGGAGATGCTCATCGAAGGCATTGATGAGAGCGATGCTGTGTATCACGAGTTGACAAAGTTGGAATTCACAGGTCACTCAATTCCATTGGTCCAAGTGGCTGAATGATCAACAAGTTTAGTCTTATAATCTGATGGTTCCTGGTTCAATCCCCTGCTGGATCGTAGGTGTATACTGTGAAGAGTCCGAAAAAAGGATGAAACAGTTAGCTATCTAAAGTTCTCTGGTTTCCAATAATCTATTTAAATGATACCAGTCTGTGACGAAAATCTAGCAATTCAAAGCATTCATATTTCACTCGCACCACTGAATACAACTCGCTACTTCTCGAGCCTTGAAACTTATATTTTGTTTATTTTAAATACACTATTATGTCACTTAATTGTCTATCCACTTTTTATCTCATGTTCTTAATGACTAAATTATAGATGAATGCAATTGAAATTGGTATTCTAATATTCATGGATTTTCAAGTATTGGTTTTTGTTTGATTGGATGGAGGATTTCATCATCAGTACGTCCCGAAATAGGACGAAACAGCTGTCCAGTACTCCTTGCAAGTTTTCCAATGGTTCTCTAACCGGTGTCAGTTCATGATGAAATCCTGTAGCTGATTCATGGATTTGTAATTGTAGCGTCTGAATAAGAAGATCCTACGTTCTATCTCTCGTTTGAAGTGGGAAAACAGAGTGAGTAATGTTGATATTAAGTAACAAACAGTCAAGTGCTAGGTAGGGAGAGAAAATCAATCAACGAGATTGTGAAGCAGCTGCACACCTAGCTATCGCCTTCCTGGACGACGTACACTCTTAGCCAACTGACATAGGACTGATTAGGTTGGAAAACTGGAAAAGCTAGTTCGTGGTGGTCAAACCAAAACATGGCTTCACCACTCAATCAAATCCATAACAGCTAGTTTAAGCAGGCCAGCCACGTAGGGAGGTGTAGACTGCCTGGTTAGCGTCCTCGGGATGATGCTAAGAACCAATGACGGCTGGTGACAATTAGTGGTGATATGGCTAGCTCAAAATCCTTGTTGTCAATGGCTGGCGGAGATGTTGCTTTCACTCGTTGTGATTTACCGGTCATATCCAATAAAACTCCTCTAATGTTCTACCATATGACTACTACTATTCTTTTTCCCTGACTCACACTTTTGCTCACTATCTCAGTGCTACTATTTGGATCAGAAACTTGGCGCCACGCCGCGTCACGAAAGGCACTTCGAACAAACTACACACCTTCATCAACAGCTCTCTTCGCTCAATACTAATCAAGACCAGATGGCCGGCCAGAAAAGATCAGCAACAGGAATCTCTGAAAGTGAACCAACCAACCAAGAACCAATTGTGCAACAAATATGCAAGAAGAAATGGAGGTGGATTGGCCATACTCTGAGGAAACCATCAAGTGTCATCACTAGACAAGCCCTCGAGTGGAACGTGAATGGAAAGCGGCGATTCGGTTGTCAGTGCAAGGGTGACATGGAGGAGAAGGTAATGTGAAGAGGAGATGAAAGCATTTGGGTAGATGTGGAGCCAGGCGATGAAAACGTTGGCGGAGAACCGAACGCTCAATGGAGACGTCCAGCTGAAGCCCTGAATTAAAGGAAACAATAATAATAATGATAATTACTGTCTTCTCTTGGTTTGTGTGTGGCTACATGGAGTACAGTGTGGTACGTCGGACTGCTGCACATCTGTGGAAAGCTGTTCTACGTTGAAACCAGTCAGTCAATCAATATTCAAACTTGAGACAAATGCCACTTAAATCGTGAAAAGAACAACGACAAATTAAGAATACAAAAGGCACTAAAATTTATTATTATTAATATCATTATCACTATCCGTTTTCGTCTATAAAAACTGACACCATAAAGAAGACAAAATAGCAAATAATAAACATACAAAAGTAAAATTTTTCTTTTCTTTCTTTTAAATCACCGTCTGATAATCCCTGACGACAGCGGATATCTGAGTCAGTGAAACAATGAGGCGAAGAAAATAGAGGGAAGGCGGGCCAGGCCGGGGGCCGGGGGGAATAGAAAATTATCACATTTTTTTAAAAACAAAGAACAATATCACAATAGAAAAAAAAAGGAGAGAGAGAAAGAGGGGGGATGAGTACAATTCATCAAATAGATAATTTATGCGAAAAATCCTTATTCAATTGCGATTTCGTATTGAAAAGTGAATTTACAAAATACTTATTATCACTACTACTGACAAACTTATTAGTAGTATCAGTAGTAGCAGGTGGATAAGCAGAATATAAAACAGTCGCTATCATAACCAGAACAGCACCAATAAAGAATAAAATTGTCGGTTGAAAATTAAACCAAAATATTGACAAGATGAAAGTGAGTACAATAGCCAATGAGGTAGCAAATCCTTTACGTATATTATCTGCATAGCGTATTGTCGCTGCAATCAACAACCCGCCTAATGATTGGATTAAAATAGCTAACCATACAATAGAATCATAACCGAAAAAAAATCCATTCTTATGTATAGCCTGTCCATCTTTAAGATAAACTGTCACAATGCCTACAGTAACACCATAAAATGCCAACTGGATATTACGTATAGCTACACTTTTATGACTACTTTTCAAAAGTTTTTCAAAAAATACTCCAGCAAAACCAGAACAACTGCATGCCAACACAACGGAGGATAAACCGACGAGTAGATTTTTATTACCATTACTATTATTATTATTATACTATTATTACTATTATTGGAAGTACCATTCCCAGCAGAATTCATCGTGGTATCCGATTTCATGATATCATTTAACTGTGTTAATACTACACCGGTGAATAGGATACCCAATGAAATCCATTGTACACGACTTAGGTGTTTCGACAGGAGAATTCTGAAGAATATCGCCGTGGTGAAAATCTTCAGCTGATACAATATCTGGATGAAATATTTAAAAAAAAGAAAAACCATGAGTAAATATTTAACAATTGAAAATACGGAGATTATCTGAAAAAAAATGATGTGCTTTGTATTTGCGCAATACAGTTCGAGCAACAATCTGCCCCCTCACACATTTACTTGTCAAGTCGATGTATATATGAAAAAGTTAAATTAAACAAAGTGACAATACAAAAAAGGATTTAAGAATGATTAACACAACGCTTGGGTAATCCAATCATCAAATAAGGATTACCAAGGTAGGTAGGTTAAGAGTAATAATAAACTGTTTTTGAATACACCGAGGGAAAGGGGGGACTTAAGTTTATGAATAGCTATAGCCTCAGCATATTTCAATAAGCGCCTTATATATCTTTCATATTGTACAGGACAGGACATAAAACTGACGTTTACATATCTCTTAAACCTATCTATAAAACGTATTTAAGGCGTATCCTAAAGTTTGTGGAAGCCCTAGCTGGCAATTAGAAAGTTTAAACCACCTTTATGCGTTCATCAAAGCAACAATTCGTCATCACATTAAACTTACCTTCCTTGGTAAACGTTGTTTTGATACCACCTGCCAGGGCAGATGTACTATTACCTAGGTTATTTGGTTTAGTGGTCTTCATTGTTATTTGACCTTGCATTATTATTATTATTATTGTTCCCTTGGGTTCCTAGTGGAACATAGGGCTTCAACTGCACGCCTCCACTTGCTTCTGTCTTCTGCTGTTCTTTTCACTTGCGTCCATGTTATTCCATACTGTTTCATCTCCTCCTCACACGATCTCCTCCATGTCACCCTTGCACCGACGAACCACTCGCCGCTTCCCCACCGGGTTCCACTCGAGGGCTTGACGCGCGATGTCACTCAACGGCCTTCTCAGCGAGTGTCCAATCCATCTCCACTTTCTCCTGCATATTTGTTGGGCGATTGGTTCCTGTTTCGTTTGTTCCCATAGCTTCTTGTTTGTGATTCTTTCTGGCCATCTAATCTTCAGTATGAAGCGAAGACAGTTGTTGATAAAGGTCTGCAACCTGTTGAAAATATTCTTGGTGACCCGCCAAGTTTCTGATCCATACGTATAGAAGAACTGACTTGACGTTTGTATTGAAAATCCGAATTTTGTTGTTGATGGTGAGTGACGAAGATTTCCAGATTGGTTTCAGGTTGATGAATGTGTTTCTAGCCTTCCCGATTCTCGATTTGACATCCTCGTCCGTTCCTCCTGTGGTTGAGACAATGCTCCCCAGATAAGTGAAAGAAGTAACCTCTTTCAAATCCCTCCCGTTGATGGTGATTGGCACTGGATGTTGCTGCTGTTGTTGGTTGGTTATTTTCATAACCTCCGTCTTGTCTATGTTCACCTGGAGTCCTGTCTTCTCTGGCTGCTTCTTCGACCAGTTTGTCGGTTTTTGCTTGTAAGTCTTCGATTTTGTGTGACATCAAACATAAATCATCCGCAAAATCCAGGTCTTCTAGGTTCTTCACGTCGGTCCAGGATATCCCTGTCTTCTCGTTTCCCACTGTCTGACGCATAATCCAGTCCACCACAATTAGGAATATCATTGGTGATAATAAGCACCCTTGTCTGACTCCTGTGTTTACTCCAAACGCTTCGCTGAGTTTTCCGTTGTGGATCACTTGACATGTGCCGTTGTCGTACAGTTGTTGAATAAGGTTGATGAATATTTGGGGTACGCCGTAGTACTCGAGTAGTTTCCAAATTACTTCGCGGTCAACGCTGTCGAAAGCCTTCTCAAAGTCTATGAAGTTGAGGTAGAGATTTGATTGCCATTCCATGCTTTGTTCGATGATAATGCGTCGAGTTGCAATTTGGTCAGAACATGATTTGCCTTTCCTGAATCCAGCTTGTTCTGGTCGGAGTTCTGTATCCAATGCGTCCTTGATTCTCTCCAGGATGATGCGACTCAGGATTTTACTTGGCGTCGACAGGAGCATGATTCCTCGCCAGTTCTTGCAGAGTCCCAGGTCGCCCTTCTTTGGTAGTTTCACCAGGTAACCTTTCCTCCAGTCAGTAGGCACCTTTCCTTGCATATGTCCTTTTAACTTGACCTAAGTCTATTTATTTTCTCACCTCTTTACTTTTTAGTAATTTCACATATATTCCTATGACAAGTCCGTGTGTCATCAGATTGTCTAAAATGCTTACAGAATTTTCATCATGAGCTGACATCGGTTAGAGAACCATTGGAAAACCAGCTGGGAGTACTGGACAGCTGTTTCGTCCTAGTTTGGGACTCTCCATCAGTATGCACCCACCAGGATTCAAACCCACGACCTTTGGGTTACAAGGCGAGCTCGTATACCATTAAGCCACTGGGACCCGATCCAATGGCCCATGAATTCTAACTTCTGCCAATTCACGGCATAGCGCGACCCCTAGCCAACGTCTTCGGCGAGTATTTGTCCTCACACCCGACCGGGTCATGGGCCATTGGATCGGGTCCCAGTGGCTCAATGGTATACGAGCTCGCCTTGTAACCCAAAGGTTGTGGGTCAGAATCCCGGTGGGTGCGTGCTATTGAAGAGTCCCAAACTAGGACGAAGCAGCTGTCCAGTACTCGCAGGTTTTCCAATGGTTCTCTAACCAATATCAGCTCATGATGGAAATCCTGTAACCAATCAAATCCCTACAAACCAACACTTGTTTGAAATGTGTGGCGCAAATACATTACACACACGATTCACACAAATTACGTCTTCCTAGAGCTTTAGCTAAATTCATAAAGGGAACTAATTGTTTTAAATAATACAAACTTTTTTAAATTCTTTTAGGTTCCAAATTGAACATAGGACTCCGATAGTACACTTCCTTCACTTCATCCTGTCGTCTTCAGTTGTTCTCAACTGACTTGAAGATCACGTATAAGCTGTCATTCTTTCCTCACACTATCTCATTTATGTTAAACTGCGACCCACGCCCAATTCATCGTTTACCCAATTCAGTTTCAAATTGACGGCCTGGTGGACGATATCACTCAACGATTTCCTCAACATCTGTCTAATCTTTCTCAATTTATTTTTAAAATTTTTATTCCTTCTCATTCCCAGTGGAACATAGGGCACCTTCAGGCTAGAGCGTTTTCGAAGTTTCGCTGGCAGTGGTGTTTATTTTTTTTACGGGATGGGTTTGCTAGCCTCAACTGGCCCAACTTTCCCTCTATACCAGCTTTATTTATTTCTGGCTTAGTAGTGCGTCGGTGGCCGGGGGATCGAACCCTGAACCACACAGGCGCATAGTTGGCCAGCATTCTACCGCTGTGCCACCAACACAATACAAACATTCTCATGTGTTATTCCATATTAAATGAGTGTTGAGAACAATTTAATGTTCGCAATCATAATAATTTAGTCACACGACTTCACAATTTGTCTCTGTCTCTCGTCTTTCCATATAATCAGGCATAGGTGCTCCTTCATTGCGATTACACGTGTCCAATGTTGGTTCGATAGACTAAGATACAATAATGATTAACCTCTCTCTATCTCTAACTATATTACTTCTTAATACTCTCAACCTGCACGCCCCCCCCCCCACAACCTATTGTGTGATTATATGCAAGTGAATGCAACGCAATGCAATGGCTGAGTTTTTTTCTAGGTTATTTCACTCAACAGGGTCAATCATTCTAGAAAGAACATCAGAGGCCTTACGTAGGAATCTCAATGAGGCTGGAATTAGTCAGGGTGGCATTTAAAGCAAGCAACCAACCAACCGATGAACTCTCTCAGAGATAAACTCTGTCAGCTTAAGGACCCAATAGGTAAAATTAACAGAAATAATATAATCTACCAAATAACATGTATTGATGACTGTGAGATCGATTACATAGATCAGTCAAACTAGTAGATTAAGGTCAACTAGATTATTGGAACATGAGAATCCAGGTAAACCTAGAATGATTGACCCTACTGAGATACATAATCTAGAAAAAAGCTCAAACACTGCATTCACTTGCATGTAATCAAAAAAATAGGGTGGGACACTGACTGACCGTCTGCCTCTGTCTTTATTCAACATAGAACTTGGCACCGAAGTGCAGCAGTTCCAGTTGCCACGTTCCAAATAGCACACAAAGGTAAACAAGAAGATGAGCGATGAAGAGAATCAATAGAGTTTTGACAAGTATAAGAGTGAAACAGAATGAATAATGGTAGAAAGGAATATGAAAGATTACAGAGACTGAATACATCTGCGTAAGCCATTGACAACGATTTTGAGCCATGTCACCTATTGTCTCTAGCTATTGATTCTTACAGTCCCGAGGGCGGGCCCCAACCCCGAAGTCTGCATCTCCCTCCCTACCTGACTCAGTTTAACTGTCAGGGATTTCATGGATTGATGAGGCCATGTTTTTGTTTGGCCACCACTTACTCTTTTCCAACCTGCACATATATCAGCTAGTAATGCCCGTCCGTCGTGGGAGGCGATGGTTAGGCATGCGCAGAACGTCACCTAGCCATCTCAATCTATGTAACTTTATAGCTTCTTCGACTGACTTTCCCTCCTTGCCCAACACTCTACGTCTAACGTCAACATTACTTACCTTATTATACCACCTAACGTGAGAAAGAGATCGTAGACATCTGTGGTCAAAAACAGTCAACCTTTTCATGTCTTCAACTCGTATTGGCCATGTTTCAGAGCCATAGAGAAGGACAGAGCGAACTGCTGAGCAGTACACATTTCCCTTGGTTGATAGTCGGATGTCACGCCTACTCCAGAGACGGTGTAAGTTAGCGAAAGCGGCCCGAGCTTTTTGGATCCGTGCTGAGATTTCGTCAACAATCAATCTGTCCGTTGTTGCTGATACAACTTCCCAAACAGGTGAATTGGTCAACATGTTCTATCACTCCACTCCCTATCAGTAAGCTAGGAGTTGACGTAGTCCAGTCCTGTAGCAGCATCTTACATTTTACAGGGGCGAATCGCATGCCAAACATACGAAGATTGCTGCTCAAGGTATTCAGA